CCTATGACTACCTCATGAGCCAATTACGCCCATCTGAAAGCCAGTTTTATCAAAGTTATGGATGTGGTCTAAATGAACTCCATACTTCTCAACTGTCTCTCGTACAAGCTTGAACCACGCGTTAATAATCTCTAGATCCTCTTGTTAAGTTCTCTAACGATCCTTTGCTCGACTAAAGGCTGTTCTAAGCTCGTCTGTACGAGTAACGAACCGCTCTGCCCAGCATTTGCCTAAAGGCTCGCCATCTCGTTCGCGTAGTAGTTTCTCCGCCATATCTGCTACTTCACATAAACGGGGGGCAAATCCTCGCGAGTCTAGGTTAAGAATATATCGTACGATAGTTTGCTCTTCAGACTTAGTTAGCTTCTAGCAATTTAGCTGTGTTGTAGGTCGAAAGGTGATTCCTTGAAGCCGCTAAGAGATCTGCTAATGATGGACGTTGTAGGCTGCTGCAGCGCGTCAAATGCTCTTAAACTAGCCTGTACGATAGGCCTAAACAGCTAGAGTAAGCCTACCTTCTTGCTAAGTTAATATCGCGTTCTGTTGTTGGGGCATTATCTTTCGTACGTGAAGTTCGTGATGCCAAGAAAAAGTGGCACACTCGGTGATGTGGCCCGCTCGGTGATGGAATACGTTATTATATTTATATAGTAGTTTTCAAATTAATTGTATTTTACTATCATATTATATAAGAAATATACTATTAAGAAAATTAGATAGATTAACTATATAGCTTATAGGAACACGGATTATTCATTATACTCTTCTTCTTCTTAACATCTTTAGATGTTGATGTAGGGATATAATTTTTATAGTAGAAATAATACGTATCAATGTACCTACATAGCTTCCTATGTATATTAGAAAGTGTCTGAATTCATCTCAGTAACTCAATACTATAAAGAAACAATATTTCAATTCTTAAGGGTATTCTGAAAGGACTAAGTTATTCCAATATATACATTACTTTTGTATTCTAATTGAGAGAAGATTTCCACTACAGATAGCAATCGTTTTGAACTCATACTTATTAGCTATTTTGTTTCATATCCTTGTAAATGTCTCTATTTAGGTACCTACAATAGGAAGAGTATACTGCCTACATCAATTTGTACATTTTCAAGTATTTAATCCTAATTTAACTTTTCTACAGCTAATCTTTTAGCGATCTGATATTAATTCAATGCTCCCTATGTTTGTGATATCTGATTGAGTATTACTTCTAGAAAAAGTAGGGTTGTTCGTATTAGTACTCAATAGCTACATAGCCTTTTAAAATCCCTTAGTAGAGAAAGAAGTTATTTAAGCTACCACGATGAATCGAGTATCTAAATTTAAACACCCGCTTCTTCTATATAGCCTCCATCGCTGCACTCTAGTATCTAGGATACAAGACATGCTAGACTACATTATATAAAGTATTTGTATTTTAACTTTACATATAACGCTGGAAGATTTGGACTAGAGCACTAAACAAGCTTGAACCCCCCTCTGGCAGCCTCTCTTAGTGGCCACCGCTTGAATTAGAGTTATCCGCACACGTCCAAGGCTTGGTACCGCCATTCTTGTTGTACGAGTCAATAATGCCGACAATAGAACCATAAGTACCACCAATAAGAAGGAATGTGCCAGCCACAATCACGAAGATGGACCAAGCAACCATGCCCTTCCACCTCCAGTCGCGGTTGGACCGGTGCCAATTGTCGTACAGCCACATGCAGCCCATGGGCTGGAAGCTCATTAGGGTGCCTAGAAGTGCGCCCACGAGCGAGACTAGACCACCAAAGACAGGAATTGCGGATGCAATGATGTAGGCGGACAGGGAGACAGCGGCAGTGAAGCCAAACCAGGTGATCCAGTGCTTAGCGGTGGGGTGGCTGAGGTGCTTTGTTCCGCGCAGGGTGCGGATGAAGAAGTACTTGGCGACCAACTGTGTGAGGTCAGTACATTGTCTGCAAAGAGTAAAGAAACGAGACATGATGGAACTTACATGAGTGACGAGGATGACCGAGGCCAGCAGACCGGGAAGTGCAAGGCCGTAACACACCTTCTTCATCAAGACACCTGCGGATCCCAGCGCAGGCGAGGCGACGTACGATCCGCAGTAGTAGTACACGACGACGCCGATGGCGATGTAGATGGAGGTCATGACGAACTGACACAGCGACAGGGCCTTGAAATAGTCCTTGTGGTCCTTCATCTCAGACACGACGTTGAAGTAGGCAGGAATGCCGCAGAAGGCGAAAACGATGCTGGATAGAGCAGCCGCGGCCTCGGCAAAGGTGGGCGACTTGAAGAGCTCAAAGTCGGATTGCCAGGGGCCAAATTGAGGTGCCGCAGAGGGGCGATCTTGGATGCTGACTGCGACGGTGAGGGTGATGACTGTCGTGGTCAGGGCACATTCTGTGATGCAGCAGCTGCGGGTATACTCACTGGCTGACATGATACCACCAAGACCAACCCATGCAATCCAAGAGAGCTTGCCCAAGGTCTTGATGGAAGCAAGCGCAAAGCCCACAAAGCAGGCTACAGCCACGAAGACAGCAGTACACGTGCCATGTTCAGACAACGAGTTCAATCCAATCGAGATGCCCAGCATACCGGAGCCAGCGACGCATGTCCACACTGTTCTTGTCAATCCACATGATCAACTCTGGCGTTCTGGAGAAGCATGTTTCCATAAGGTAGGAGACGCACACAAAGCGAAGGCCAGGCCGAGCACCTCTCGGCCGGCGCGCCCAAATAGCTTCTGCCCCACGTCCTCGATGCCGTACGTCTCTGGGTGACGCATTTTGAATGTGCCGACCATGTAGCCAGACCACAGCGTGATCAATCCAATGGCAAGCAGTGAGATGATGCCCGGAATGAGGCCTAGGGCGTCGAAGGCGGCGGGAATCGACAGCACACCGAGACCAATCTGTGTTTTCATCATGATGATGGACGAAGCCCACCAGTTGACCTGCCTGGAGTCAGTAGGCATTGGGGAGGAAGAATGATAACATGGATGCATACGCTGCGGTAGTTGGGTCCTCCCTCCACGACCTCACCAAAAACGGCATCGGCCTGGCCTTGCGGGTTGGTGTCCTCGGCCTTGAGCGGGTTGCCGTACTCGATGTCGTCGCCCATCTTGTCGTTGGAGCGACCCATAGCGCTCTGATGTCTGATCCGGGCTATCAGTGGGAGATGGCACGCGAGAATGCGGCTCGAGTCCAAGGACGACGGTACGCACTTTATGCAGAAGTGGTCGGCCCGACCGACTTGGGCTGGCAGCGGCGCAGGAACGATGTGGAGGCCGCCCTCGGGGCGTCCATTGTTTCCCCAGGTACCTGAGTCGCCTCGAGGTTGTGGTGGTGGACACTGGCGATGCTCCCGCTGGCGAATTACTTAGCCTGGAGCCGCCAAGACCGGGAAAAGTGGGTCTGGGGCCGCGTTGAGCCGCAAAAATTTGACGCAAGACAGTGACAGTGACGGCGAGGTTTTGCCGGACTCGCTAGGCCCAATGCGGTAAAATTCACTCCATTTTTTTCCTGCGTCGTCGAATGTCGCCAGTGCCAGTGCCAGTGCCAATTCCAAGGCCAAGCGCCCGCGGATGGCATGTTGAGCGCGTTCGAGAGCACTCTAGGCGGGTATACCAGCTGCTGCTATGCCCATGTGGCGTGGACAAGCTTCACCCCAACGCCGTCCATGACCGCTGCATGCGACGATAAGCACCAGAGCCAGGACCAGAACAAGGACCAAGCCGTTCGGGCCAAGTGAAATAGACGCTTATCTTTTGTGGATTTCTGGGCCTACGTTGTGGGACGAGGGTCCGTTCAGATCGGCTCAACAACGCCTTTTGAGTCGGCGAAACAAGTAGCATACGTCATTCTTGTCTTGTGTTTTGACATGGAATGTGTCAATATCAATGCTACACGTGGGAGCGCGTGGACATGGCAGAGATAGCATGCGTACAAATACGAGGCTGCATCCGCGTCAAGATGGCGCATGGGGTGGTGATCAAGGCGATTTCTCTGTGACGACCCGTTGCCAGGGCATACCAGTACCGTAGGTACGCTCCCGAAGCACATGGCCCAGAAACCAGCGTCTTGAGCGTCTTCGTCTGCCGCACTATCGATCCATGGTGGTATTAGAACTAGTACCAGCTCGAAGACAGTCGGGTGCCGGCACAGTATAGCATCTGCTATGTATCCGTGGTGTAAGCAAGGCGTCACCTGCTCTTGTCAAGCGCTAGGAATGGATCGAGAGGGGCGCGCAAGACGCGGAGAAGGTTGCGAAACATGGAGACAGGCGTCCGAGCACGGCTTCTGGAAGCATGGCGAAGCCTGGGCTGACCCGGTGCTGCGGTCGCGACCTGGGGCATATTTGCTGTTATATCAAGAGTTGGGGGATGCACAGTTTCGGTCTGGGGACAGGTGTTGCCCTTACGTAACATGTACAAGGTACGCAAGGTAGCGTTGAGGTTTAATCTAGGGCAAGCGTTGTTGTTAGGTAACACGGCGAAAGCCTAGCTCTAGTGCGGCTCCACAATTTAGCTTCGTGTACGTAACTGCTGCTTATTCACTATCTTCAAGTCAAGTATACACTTCTTTCTACTATACTTATATAGTACAGACTTTATATTCAAACTATAATTACTATTAGATCATATATAATTCTACTTTTTCCTTTAATAAACTATAAAATAGTTCACTTTTTAGATAGATATTCTATTTTTGCGTTTTTTCTATACACTATTAAAATATGTATTTTTGAATTAAGATTTGTTAAAATAATAGTGTAGGGACGAATTATAGGTGGTGTTTTTTCCCTAATTTTTAACTACACCTAGAGCTATAGGAAGATTTTGACTCTCTTATGTTTTTTCATCTAGTAGAGATTAAAACATTCAACGTGGTTCATAAGCAAGTTGGTCACGTAAGCGAGTTAGTCACTCCCTACTAGCGCGTCAACGTTAATACTATAACGCGTTATATCTTAATAATACAACTATTAATTAACTTATTCTAAATTAGATCTTTAATTTGCTCTTTTTAATATCTAATTATAACGTGTTTAAAGCTAAAGACGCGCTATCTTTATCTATAACGTGCGTTAAAGTATGATATCTAATTAATAGGCTAAAAAGCGCCTCTAACGCAACTACAAACTAAATTTAAAGCGCCTAAATAAGTTAGAAGAAGAGGCTATTATTAGATAGATTTTTAAAAAGTCTACGCGTAGATTTGCCTCTATAAAGGATAAAGTTTAAGTAATAGCTAATCGAATATTAGAAGAGCGTAGTAGCAACCCTATTAGTAAGAATTAGGTTAATAACTTTATTAGGTAGATGTTACACGGAGTGGATTGCTGATACTTCTCTAATCTCGTTCCGGGTTAGGGCGAGCGAGCCTTTACGGGATCAGCTCTGTGGGATTTTGCCGTATGTTCTTGGTGGAAAAGAGTTATAGGAGTTAACTAAAGGTTAATTAACAAATCCAATCTATATTGCTATAGATTAACAAGTAACAATCTTGTTAAGTAAAGATACTAGTAAGACAGTACAATTTGAGTTGACCACAACGAGAGTAAATAATGAAATCCATCCATCCTTATATCCTCATTGCTTCCAGTCTTGCCATCCTGTCCATCCCATCTTGGCGGGATGGTTGGGATGGCACCGCCATCCCATCGTGTGCTGCCATCCCGGATGGCCAGCCTTGGCGGGATGGCACATCACGTGACCGAGCCCCGCGATGCCCTTCGTTTCCGGTTAGGATCCCAAGTGGTTCCTCAACCAACATACTGTCATCACCAGGGAGGAGATCCTTCCCGTTGTTACTTGTAACAGTAGACTACTAAGCTCTATACGCGCTAGAGCTGTCTATATAATTACTAGCAAGCTACCTATAAGGACCTAATAGCTATCTAGCGCTAGTTTAACTTAGTCTAAGCAATAAAGTAGAAGTAGGGTATTATAGATGATAATATCTATAACTTTAACAAAACTAGCTTTATAATAGGTAAGATTTTATAATAGTTATTAATTAGTTATAGTATTAGAGAATGTAACGGGTCGAGTCCTATTAGACTGCGCACGCAACTACAACGCGCCCACCGCGCCAAAAAGGCTGGCACAAGATATCAGAGCTGCTGATATCGTTGCGTAGTTGATACATAAGATAGCCACCGCTATCTGTACTGTAGCGGGCTACCTAGCCCGTTACAGAGAAATGTAGAAAAAAGAAGTAGATATAGCTAAGTAAATATAAGTAGGTTACTATAATCTAACGCGTAGGCGCGTTAGGTTGCTAAATACTACCTTTTATTATTTTTATAGGTAAAGTGCTTATTAATATCTAGTTTAAGAATTTACTTACTAACTAAGTTCTTAAAGTTAGACCTAATAGCTAGACAAATAATTAGCTTAGTCTTTCCTAGTTAGAGCACTTTAATACCTATATAAAGAGCTCTACTATAGGTAGGTATTAACTACTTATTATTAATAGCTATAACAGCTACTGCTCTATCAATTCCTAAGATCTTTGCAAGAAGAAGAATATTATGCTTTTCTATCTACCTGCGCAATTGTCTTACCTATTATAGCCTCTTAACATCGCCTACTTCTCGCTATTAAAGCGCAAGTATAGTAACGCTATTTTAGGCTTAGCACGTAACTACACTTATTATATTAGCAAAAAAACCTTCTTACTAGCCTTTAAGACTGCTTTTAAGCAGTCTATTATAAAAGAGAATATCTAAGCTAGCTTTAGAGGCGCTAGTCTAGTCCCACACAACCTATAGGCTATGCTATCTAAGCTTAATATAGTAGTGTAGACACTTATATAATTACTACAATAGACAGCTACCTAGTAGGCGCAGATACTACGTAACGCGCGCGAGGTTAGGGCTTAAAGTACTCTTATTTAATAGAAAGTAAAAAACTACTTTAAGTCTTCTATAAATTCTTTTAATAAAAAGGTTATATAGCTAAATCAAGGAGCTTAGTAAATAGCATATAAGATAACGCTTACAAGAGAGGAAGTAGCTACTCTTTAAGAGGCTTTAGACATAGCAAATAAGCGTAATAGCTATGAGCGGCAATATATATAGATAGAAGAGACTCTTACTATAGGTAAAGTACAAGAAGTATTAGCTAAATAGGCTAGTAGTAGTTATAGTAATAGTAAGAGTGCGTTAAAGAGGGTGCGAGGAGAGTGGTAGTGCGGGCGTTGCAAGCAGACTAGATATAACGCTTGTACCTGCGCAGTTAAAATAGATAGTTTAAGTAATAGTAGTAATTTTAATAATTAATTTAGTATATTACAATAGTTTATTAACTATAATAAAAGACTATAATAACGTGTTAACGTTAACGCGCTAGTAGGGAGTGACTAACTCGCTTAGGAGACTGACTCGCTTTTGAACCAGGTTAATATACAACTTCTAAATATTATTATTTTTAGCAAAAAAACTTTTATAGCTACTAGAGTATAATTCTTACAAATTGAAATTCTACACCCTCTAGTTTGCTAGAGCGTATAGCTACACATAGTTACCCCTGAAATTTCCCTATATCTATCATAACAAATACCCTATCTTGTAACGAATTATTCATAAAATATATTCTTATTAATTATGTAATTTTTTATTTCAGCCACTAATCTCTTTATACATATCCTCTCAAACTCTACTATTTCACGTATTCTCTCCCTTTATGTATGTAGATTTGTGAATAGTATATCTACTAGTTTATCTAGTGTCCAGTTCCTCTCCTATCTCGAAACAAATTCTTTACTTCAGTATATATTTCTTGTGATTAACACTTACCCTGAATGACAATCAAAATATACCTACAACCTATATCAACAATTCTTATCTTGTTATGTATGGTTAGTAAAATTACTCTACGTCATGAAGCGTTGTAGGTTTCAGGTCTTCCTTTATTAATACGTATTGTCTGATGCACAATCCTGTCTTTATATATATACTTCTAATCAGGATAACTGAAGAAGAGTATACTGACAACTAATTTATATGACTAGAGCTTTGTTAAGAGTATAGATCAAGTGGAAGTAATATAAGACTTCTGGTGTTGATCTTCTTGTTAGTTGGTTTTCGCAGATAGAGTGACAGGGTGCAAACGGGGACAGTAACGTGCAAGTAGAATAACTCTCTGTATTGTACTTGTACTTAAAACTTAAGTTAAACACATCAAGCCATAAGGGCTTAATGCCTATGCTATATACTAAAGGAATGTCCTATGTTCCATATTGTCCTACATGTATTATGTTGTCCTATGCGTGGTACTTCG